CCGCAACACTTTCGGAGTGGCGGTTCGCTTGTGCAGTTGTGGTTCGTCTGAAGCTCTCATTTCCACTGTTGGTGCAAGCCAGGACCTGCAGACTTCCTTGAGAGCAGCGGCCTCTTTCCGCCACGGCGACCACCTCCTCCAAAGGTACCAGGTCGTCTGCTGCTGTACGGTTCAGCTGCTCGATGCAGCTGGCTTTACTCCTGGGTGCAAGCCATGGCCCCATCCAGATGCTGGACAACGTCATTCTTATCTTCGGATAAGTGCAGAACGCGAAGCAGTCATCGTTGCGTGCTGTCCGCAGCAAGACCTGGTTTGACACCGGTCAGAAGCTGGGACGCGGGACATGTCTTTTCAATTATTACACTCCGCGCTCATGCAGCGAAGTTGCAGTACCGCAGTCGCGTGAAACTTGGCAGGTGTCCTTGTCCTCATTGTTGATACTGCAGGATGCCTTCCGCACAGCCAAGCTGGGATTGCCAGAAAACAAGGATCCTGCGAGAGTGTCAGCCTGATGCACCGCAGCCAAGAGAGTCGCCTTACGAGACATGAGGTACCGGTGGCGACAGGTGCCAACGAAGACATCAGAAACGGAAATGAGATTCAGGGCCTTCGATAGCTGAAACATGCTGAAACAGCAAAGCCAGTGGCAACAAAACCTTCAAGCTTCCGGCAATTGCCAGCAAACTTCCGCTGCCCGCAAGCGCACGTCGCATCTCAGCATGCTGCCGCAGGACTCTAAGCCACGGGACAAGGTTCTTAGATATGCGCCGACCTTGCCTTCCTTGCCGGATTGGAAAATATTTGCTTACAGCTGTTCCGTCAAAAGTTCTTGCAGTCAAAACAAGGTGGCACTGATGGCCTGCGTCTATCTAAACTTCCAAAAAGAGTCTCGCGTGGGTGCATGGCATGCGAAGGTGCATAAGCTCATAAGCCTCTGAGCAACGCTCATGCCAAACGGAGCTTCGAGAAACTGCCGTGCAAAACTCACTGAGCCAGCTCGTGCGATATTGAGACGCCCACCTACCTTGCTTGGCAAACACTCACAGTTCCATAAATTTGGTAGGAGACTTCAGAACATCGAGCTCCGTCATTTTTTGGCCGTGCAGTGGGCCCCACTGTGAAACGAGGCACCGGCGTGCTCGAGGATCCTTTGCCCATTGCTCCCTGCCGCACCCACACATACCCACATAAAAGCTTTCCCGGTTCCGCCGACTGATGCGAAGTCGCTCTGATAACTCAAAAATTCTAAATAAGTAAATTCAAGTCAACTCTGTCCGGCATTGCTCAGCCGGCAGTCGGGATGAGAGCTGACGGCTCCCCGCGGGCAGTTGAAAAGCACCTTTGGCAGTACACAGGTACGGCTTCTGCATGCTGAACAAGGGCAAGGCCCCACGGCAGTTTTAGTCCTGGTGCAGGAAAACTGCTGACGAGCTGTGCCGGGACTCCAATGCACCCGCCACCGAAGCATCCGGGGTTCAAAAGATCCGCATCGGGGCGACAAGCTTGTGCAAGTCTCAAAGTCACACATGCCATTGACCAATTCTCGCAACCCGTCGCCCGCAGCCCATGTACAGGCACGGGCTCCACGTGTCTTGAAACATGAGGAGGAGCCGTGCCCGAGAGACCCGTGGCTAAGGCGGAACATACCAGCAACCACAGAACAGTGCGACGCCCTGGGCTCCATGCTCAGACTCAGATTTGCTAGATGCTTTGCTTACCCAGCGGTCGCATCAAAGCACTTGCTGTAGGTGAAACACACTAGTAGTGGATCAAGTCAATCCCTCCACGGCCCGAGATCGAACCGGGGTGAGTCTGCGTCCGTCTGCGGCGGCGCTGGTGGCATGGCAGGTGCTGCAACAGGCACCGCAGCAGCACCAGTCCTTGGCAGCCCTCTGCATCGAATGCAAAAGTCTGCACGGGACTGATATTTCTAGAAGTGCACCGCTGAACCACTTCATGCTTCGACTTTCCAAAGCCTGACTGCCGAGGCGCCTTTCGCCTCTTGCAGCGGGGTTTTCCTTGAGCCTGGGCTGCTCTTTGTTCAGCTTGCACGAAAAAAGAAGCGAAGAGTTTCTTGCTTTGTACATCCTCCCAGCTCTGCATGGAAAGCTGAGCCGGAGAGCTTGTTCGGCAGATGTCCTTGGAATTCTCGAGCAGCACCCGGGACAGTTGGCCTCTCAGGTGGCCTCGGCAAGGCGGCAAGGGTAATCTGTCAGCCAACCCCCGCACCTACACTATGGGCTGCCACTCTCCGCCAGACTCTGGCACTCACAACGCTGCGTGTCCGGAAGAAGACCTAACCACCGAACCTGAGTAACTTGAACCGGCAAAGAGATCGGATGGAATGGCCCCGCATTTCTCAAAGCAAGAGTCCGCTCGTGCAGGAATCTGTCGGAGACCCACGCCAACTTCATGGCGGCTACCACCTCCTGCAGACATTGCCCCGGCAGCCGAAGCAGCTGCGATTCGGGAAAAACACGACGACACTCGTTGGGCGAACCGGCGCTCCTGATGTAGATCGGATGCGTCCTTTGCTGAGCAGTGTTGGGAAGCTGAAGTGTGACAACTGTCGTTTGTCTCATGCCACAGCATGCAGACGCGACTCCATGTGCCTAAAGCTTATGCTTGGATATGGGTCTAGCTAGATCTTGCAAAGGTGCGGCAGGTCGACCTGCGGAGACTTGTGCAGCCTGTGCGCAACTCACAGAGGCAAACAGTCACCCTCTATTCGCCGGTCGGGGTCTGCAGCCAGGCAATGGTTTGAGACACCCTGACGTCGAAGCATGTTATGAAAGCTGGAAGCCATTGCGGCCTGCTGTGCCGTCACAGCAATGCCGCGTGCGAGGTCACTGCGCACCTGGCCAAGGTCATAAAAGGACACACCTGACCCTCTTCAACGAAGTCTCTCAATGACATTAACACCAACTTTTGCGCCGAAGGAGACGGCCTGCCAAAACTCTTGCGCCAACTCTTCCTGACATGAGTAGGCTCTGAAACTCGAGGCCTCACGTGGACCCCCTAGTCAATGCAAAACTTGGCCAGACCAAGAGAATCCAAGCTGCTCTGAGAGATTTAAAAAGATCCTGGCTCGGAGCATGGGTGACAGTGCAGGATCCGACATTACATGCAGTTGCCGCGGCAAGCTGACGGTTTCAACCCCGCTCCGTGGCCCAGATCGGAGCCATCTGTGTGTCCAGAGCTCCCCGAGGCTCTGGCTCCTGAGTTGACCATCTTCAAGGCTCACGGCACTGAACGGCAGGCAACTCAAGTGTGAGCAACAGCTTAATGCAGTGCCGAAGTTTCCATGACTGGCTCCCTGCGAGGACGAAGGTGTAAAGACTTATGCAACGGTGCATGGCATTGCTCGTGCAGCTGACTGCAGCAGCGTCTGACACGCTAACCCTAGGGATGGCAGCGCCTTGACTTCACGTCCTCTTCAAAAAATATTCCTTTGCGCTTGTTCTTCGCATCCCTGACATCCTGGGACACCTCAACACCGCGACCAGGCGAAGATCTGAAGTTCTTCTACCTGAAATGCTGGCGAGGTGCGACTGACAGCTGCAAGCTGGATGTTGACAGCGTTGACCCGACACCCATGGTATGGACAACCAAGCCCGTCAACTTGTCCACGGACAGCTGCAAGGCCCTCGTGCCAAAACGCGGACTACCGAGACTTGCGAAACCTTGCAGCTTGCTCTGAGCCTGGCCTGACTTCTTTTCTTAGTTGCTTGAAGTTCTTGTCGATACGCTTGAACTCCACCGACCGATCTGAGGTGACGGCCCTCGGAGCTGAGCAGCGCAGAAAACGGGGAGCACATGTCGCAACACTTTTCTTGCGACACCGCTGCTGTATGACACCCTCGCAGAACTCGTCTATGTTGAGCTGCCCCGAGTTATCTATATCCAGCATGCCTTAGCCGCAGTGGCAGTGTCATGAAACTATGGCGGATAGCACTTGTGCCGATGTGTTCATGCTTTCTGGCCCTGGGCCGGCCGCGAAATATCTCCAGCGGACTCTCCAGCGTCAAGAACTTCTTCAAGAGCATCTGGTCCTCTTCTGTGGCCTAAGTGCTTGGCGGCACACCAGCTCCCGTCCAACCCTCGCCTCTGACCACCAGGCCTCCATGATCTCCGCCAAGGTGATGGTCCCGCTGCCATCTTCATCTAGGCCTGCAGGCTTCGAACTACAAAGCCGAAAATCTAAGAACGACTGGTCGCCAAGTGGCGCGAGAACATTCCCCGAAGCTCATCGATGGTCTTTTTCCGACGCTTGTTCTCCTACCCAGGCCAGGAGTGCCAGCCTATCTCAACTTGCAACCCCACATGGCTCGCTCACCCATGTCCTGGATCCTCTGTATCTCCTTATTGCTCGAGGCCTGGCTCATGAGAGGTCTCCGAAACTTCTCTGCTGCAGTCCTAAGAGGGACTCTAGGGGGGGGTCCTGCTCGAGGGCGCTGTTGACGATCACCGCCTGAGCTCGAAAACGAACGTGGGCGACTCCCGCCTCGCCTCGCTTGGACCGGCGCCCGAGGGAAGCCGAAGCTTAGAAGCCTAAGCCTCTGGCAGTGATGAGATTCATCAGCACCTCAGGCGATCTCATGCGACATGCAATGGCCATGTTCCCTCTCTCGCTCAGGGCTGAGATGCACGCGATAGAGATGACGAGCACCAGGCCTCCGATTCGTGACTGGTGACCCCGTTTGACTCGGATAGGTGGCATCTGCCGTGCATGCAGCCAGAGTGGCCCCCAAAGTAGACGGCCAAGCCCGGATCCACCTGCAATATGAGATTCTGTGACCCATTATAGGATCTTCTCCTCGCTCGGCATGCCAGAGCCTTGACGAGAGGCTTGTAGACATTGGCCATCGAGTCTAATGTGACGAACTGAACCTGCAGATCCAATACTTCCGGTTGCTAGGTGCCACGTCGTCCGCACACACCGTCGGCCGATGCACGTATGTGCACAAGAAGGCAAGGAAAGAATGCTTGGGAACGGTGGGGTGGCAACTTTCTCTCTGCCAAAACAAAGTTCCGAGTGTTCAATCAACCCAGAACAACAGACATGTCTGAAGTCGTTGTGGCGACATCTCGTCAAGCCACAAGAGTCATCATGGTCACGAAGAGATTGCCGAAATGCTCATTGGCAACCTTCGTTCAAAAAGTTCAACACAGCAACATAGCAGCTGCATCGCCCTTGCTCGATCAACAGGGAGTTTTAAGGAGCAGAACTGAGCCTCTGGCATCATAAAAGTGAGGGTCCGACGCCTCATTTCTCGCCATGGGGTGGTTGGTGATAACCTCCACCTCAATTCCGACTGAAAGTGTGACCCACCGCTGCCACGATGGCAGCAACTGCAACAACAACAACAACAATATCAAGAAGGTGAACAACAGCAACAACAGCAACCACCACCGCCGCCGCCGCCGCCGCCATCACCACCACCACCACCACGACGACTACCACTACTACTACTACTACTACCAATACTACTACTACTCCTCCTCCTCCTGCTGTTGCTGCTGCTGCTCCTACTACTACTACTACTACTACTACTACTAGTACGACTACTACGACTACTACGACTGCTACGACGACTACTACTATACTACTACTACTACTACTACTACTACTACTACTACTACTACTAAGTTGCTGCTACCACTACTACTATTACTACTACTGGAACAACCACCACCACCACCACCACCACTTCCACCAGCACCACAAAAACGACCAGCCCACCACCACAACACGGATCAACAAGGACTGCACTGACAACGAGACTCGACAATACCCTGCCAGTTGTTATCCTGTTACCCTCTCAATCTCTTACCTGGCATCCGCTTCTGGGTTTCATTCGTGCCGTATGCTGCCAAAAAATTTCCTGCGCTTGGCAATGCGAGAGATTTAACACATGATTGAACGATGCCGGGTTGCGAAGAGCAACGAGAACCTTGGATGTGCGGTCTCTGCGACACCCGCTACTGCGATTGCAACATAATTGCGCAATCATGCACAGATGCTGCAGCTGCCACTGACATGCAGGTACGACGTTGCAGCTGCCACTGGCATGCAGGTACGACGTTGAGCTTCGCTTCTCTGGTATTATTGCATTCGCCCGATCAAGCACGGGTTCGGAACTGCCGGCCAGCAGGGTTCAACCCGAGGGGCAGGTACAACACCGTGAGAAGCAACCTGATAGAACTCAAACCGCAAGGCTCCAGCAGCAAAGGATGAGTTGGCCCACAGAAGAAGCATAGCGCTGAGACGGTAGCAGAAGCGTGTAAACCATTGTGCTAGCCTGAGCCAAACAGCTCACGCCCGCACTGCCGACCGCATCACAGCTTCTTATAAGACTGGCTTACTCATTCTTCCACGTACGTACGTGCGTTGGCACCCGTCACACTAGTCCACTCCAAGCTGCACAGGATGTGACCATCTGCACCAGCATCCAGAGTTCCTTGGCTTCCGCGAAACAAGGCTCCTGCAGATTGCACACATCGTGATTCCACGGAAAACTGCCAACATCCACCACTCGGCAGCTGTAGCCAGGAGGCATGCATTCTAGTGATGATACGGGCGGTTCTCGCCAAGCCTGAGTCTTTTGAGAATGCCAGCAACTTCTGTCACATCTGTCAGCTCATCCCATTGCTTGCCAAGCTGCGCAGTAATCTAAGTGTCCGCCTCAGCGAGTAATCGTAGCTCTATGCCAGCATGCAATTCATGGAACCAGGCACTGCAAACCGAGCGTCAATGTTAAGAAGCTGGACCACTCGCCCGTCTCATCTGCAGGCGACATTGCCACCTTCCGCCCGATAGCGCATTAACCGACGTTTGCAACATCCAGCACCCTGACTTTCTGCGACCCGGTTGCCGGTAGAATCCATAGGACGAGCCAGCCCAAAATCACCTGTGACGACACGTGTGTGGTGAGGAGCACAAAACGTCGGAAGAAACGATGCCACCAAGCCACCAGAATTGTGTCAAACTTCACCCAATGGTCTCGAAGAGATTTGCATGGACCGTTCACAAAGAAGCGCAGGAAAATCTCAAGAGTGTATATAACCTCAGTGTGATATTGGCGAACTTTCGAGGTCACCAACAATCACAAAAAAACGATCTGAAATTGCGAGGCACGAGGAAGATATGCTCCAAGACATTCAGGGGACCATCCTTGGTGTTGCCCTTGGATGAGCGGAGCTTGGTGGAATGGGTCTTCTGTGTGCGCAACCCTTCCTTAAAGCCCAGCTTGATGTTGCCTTGGGATCATGACGCTTTGGCATACCAGACAGCGCATAGTGCATCAAAGCCCTGAACTGCACAGAATATCTTAAGAACAAGTAACTAGAAGATGACACAGTTTTACTGGACATCCTGCTTGCTCTCTCGTAGCCTACACAACCTGGATGCAAAGAAGGCACGCCCTCAACACGGATATTCTGCTCCACGCCTATGGTGATTGCATTCGCGAGGATGATGACAATCATCACCTGAGTGGCCCAGGCAGTCCAGCACTTTCCATGGCTCATCTGTGGATTCGGCGATCGTCTAAGCTTGCCAATCGACCGGCTTGCAGGGCGAGTTGCGAAATCAAACGCCTCCGACTCGAGGACGGTCGCCGCCAGAAGTCTAGACTCGAGGCCTGCAGCTCGTGGTAGACACGACATTATTTCCGTGCCCCTTTTCTCTGAGGAAGCGACATCGATTTCCATTCAAACCCCTAAGGCGGTCTTGTACTCGCCGATCCTTTTTCGGCATGCTGCTCCAGCCAGTTCCACCTGCGTGCGCTGGTGCTGCAGCAGTTCTTCTGCTGAGCTCTCTGGCGTGGCAAAACTTCTCAGGCTCGGGCTTCGTTTCAAGCCTCCTGGCTTAACCTCGTCGTCTCCATCCTCTTCTTGGACATCCGCGTTGTCAGAGCCAGATCGTGAGGAGATTCCTGCCTCGCCCACGGGACAAGGCTTTACAACGACTTATAGTTGCAAAGATTCTCCAGCCTGTAGCTCAGTTAAGAAACGGCGGGACGGAGAGATGCAAATCACCCCGAATCCGGGAATAGCACGACAAGCCGGAAGACGGGAAGCCTGTTGCATCATCTCCTTCCATCTTTGCTTCTGGGCCTCATCCTTAGCTGAGCCAAACCTTTCCAAGCCAGGACATCTACCGAAGCTCTCCGGGACCAGGTGCAACAGCTGCCTACTCGGGCGGAAGTCAAACGGCTACGTTTCCATCCCTCCTTGCAGCAAAAGCGCTAGGCCGGGCTCCTCTTGTGCGAAACTGCCCGTGAGCCGCCGAAGGAATGATCCCTCTCTGGAGGGCGGCTGCTTGTCTGGCTTGTCTGTTTGGACGTCCTGAGACGTGTCCGCTGGCTTGTCAACATCGTGGACAATGCCGTGACATTATCCACTCGCTGCTTTGCCCGTCTCTGCACCTTCACTTCTGAGGCATGGCACGAAAATTGAGAGCACGCTCTGGCGCCTCCCGCCTAGGTGCTCGTTTGTCAAGACATGGCTAGCAGCTCTTCCATGGTCTCCGTTTGCTATCAAGTAGCGCGGTGCGGGACTTTCTCCGGGCGGCTCTGCCACCTGTTACACGTCTGCAGCAGAAATGGAAGAACGACAGTGCTCACACCACAAGCAGGAACCATGTAAAGCTCAACATGAGATGCCTCGGCGGACTTCTGGACGTCCTAGACGGGCAAAAAACAAAACATTTCTCCTGAGCCCCTTTCGCCGAGGACTGGGGAAGGCACCATGAAGATCACCTGCATTGACACGCGAACATGCTTGATGTGCCGGGAGGGCGATGCTTGCAAGGCATGCCCGTCAGGTCTGTGGCACCGCTGCAAAAACACATCCGGATCATCTAGGTATCTTCTGGGTCCTGGGGCCAGGGCTTACTCCGGCGAGAGCAGTCCCACCCTTCTCCGACGCTTTGAGCCGGAGTGGCGCAGGAGTGAGCATGAGCCGTGGGTGACGGGAGCTGTCAGGGCTCGGATGCTGCCCTACTCCCGACCTGCCCCACCGCTCTTTTTCCGCAGCCACACCATCTCCAGCGGAGCTTTGCCTCTGGTTGGTCAGGGCTTGGCGAGACCCCACCTGCCACCATCTTCTTTCAGGTCTTGGGCAAAGGAGAAACCTGCGCACCTTGCTGAACGCAGCAAGGAGACGGCGCAAGGCAGCAGCTTCCGGACCTCCAACGAGACCCGGGGCAAGAGAAGAAGAATCTCTCCCCGGGCTGCACCTGTCACCGCCCCAAGCGCTGCCATAGTGGCAGCCTCTGGAGACGCCTTGGCCTGGAAGAGCAGTTCCAAAACCTTGTGCCAGGCTTTGCAAGTCTCTCCACTTCGTGCATGCTCACGCTGTCCAGCAGAGTCCCTGACGGATCGGGCAAAAGCGAGATCCTGAAGCTTCACGGCCACGCGAAGTGCTGACCTTGGGCAAAGCAGGACACCAGGCACAGACAGTGTAGCAAAGGGATCCATCCGAGAAGGACGCTGCAAAAGCACCTCGCCAGGACCTCGAGGCATGCAGCTGGGATGATGTTGAATTAAGGCTAAGGGCATCAATCACGTCCTCAGCCCCTGTTGTTGTTTTTGTTGGAAAAGTCCAAGCCTCTTTGAGCCTCACACGTTCCGGCATGTTCCGCATGTGAAACCATAGGCGCCGAAACTCTGTTGGTGAGGCGACCTCCAATGCCTGGGCTTCGTTTCACCGAAAACCAAGGAACCCAGAATCGAAACTTCGCCGTGCTCGGGGCAACGCTGACAGGACGATAGCGTAAGCCACTTCATCCGGCTCCACTCCAAGCTGCGACTGGCCTCGTCGCAATTTCCACTGATTGGAACAGAACCATGGCACCAATGAAGCTGTGGGGCTCATCATGAGCACTTCTTGTGCATGGCCTGCCTCAGAGTGACATGCTGGATCACAAGTCACATGGCTTGCAACGTCGGCAAAACCCTCTATAACAATCCGGAATTCTGGCTACTTTGCCTGCGGTATTTCAAAGCGTAGTCCAGGCTTCTGGCCAAGTCGGCGGAGCAATAAGCTGCAAGCCTGGCATTGTTCTGGACGCAGGCGTAGTGCATGGTCAAGACGAGTAACAAGACTTCAACGAAAGCTCCGAGGCATCACCCTACCGCTCAACCGAGGCTCACAACGGGGTGGTCAAAGCCGACTGCGCATCGGTGTACTGAAGGTTTTGCTCTGACTCGCCTCCCACCCTAGACTGCCTTGACAGGGCCTGTACCGGTCTGAGCTCCGGGCAAGGCATGTAGCAGTTCTGCTGGCAGAGGTTGCACTCCTTGCGCCTTGGCCTCCTGCACCTCCCGCCATGCCTGGGCTATTGGCGACAATCAAGTGGAGGAACCGCTGCTTTTCCAGGGCGCGTACATGCGAAAGAAGCCTAGTTCGCTCGCCACCTTTTCGGAACGAAATGGCGGGCAATGCTTACCGAACAACAGGCGAAGGCGGCTGTGGTCCTCGAGCTGTGGCCGCTGCTGCGCCGAAGGCTCGCACAAGGTCAGCACGGATGCCTAAGCAACATCTGCGGGAAACCGAACCGAGCGGCCTGAGCAACTCGAGCATACTGGCCCGCATCAGGAACAATCCCGGCAGCCTGGATCACGACAGCAGATAGCAGATTGGCTGCACATCTGCTCTGAAGCCGACACAGTGCACACTTCAGGGCCAAACCATCATTCTCCTTCGGAGAAGCTTGGCCTTCAATGTGAAAGGCCCTGGGGAATGAGGACACAGCATAAATTCCCGACAGCCAGCTGCCTCATCTGCACGCCCTCCTTCTGCACAAGCACGTGCCAAAGCCACACAAAGACGCTGCCCAAGACTGCCACGATGGCTTCTGAATTATTTGTTTCCCTTGTGGGACCTTTTCCTCCGTCTCCGTGCAACACTTGGCTTTTGAAATCGAAGGACAAGGGTTCTCTTTTGGGAATAGCCCCTGCCATTGGGTCGTTCGGGCTTTATCATGTCGCTCTTTCAAACATGCCGGTTCCAGCGCTTCACCTCTCCGTGCTGCCTGCGATCGACATTAGAGTCATTAGAGACAGTAGTGCAAAAATCGAGTCGCCCTCCGGCAACAGTCAACCTCTGGAAATTCTGAAAGGAGCCTCCCCTGCGATGGCGAAGGCGTTTTTGGCAGTGCGTCGTCTGCTTGACAAGGCTACAGCCTCAGTCGGGCAGGAAGTCGGTCGAAGTGGCTCCGCCAGCCACGAAATTGAGGAAGCGTCCAACTCAGCCCTCGCAGTCTCAGTTGGCTCCGACCTCGAAGCCTCAGTCGCCATGGACATCGCACCGCGCATCACCAAGCATTGAGGCTCTTGCCATCTCGTCAAAGAGGCTCTGGGCCTGCTCGGGATCCTCGGCTTCTGAGCTCCACAAGACAGCTCCACTCATCCACCGGCCTTCCTGCAAACTGCGCCCCATCCTCTTTTCCCAGAACTTCGCGCTCTACCTACTCTATCCCTGATTCTCCCAACTTTAGCTGGGCTGAACCGGTAATGGTGGATTAACGGCCCCCGATCAGAAAGTTCCGAAGGCGCCTCGGAGGTCTGCCAAGGGGGGAAGAGAGTGCCACTCGGGCACGCCAGCATTAACGGCGGCACTGCTGGCACCGCAGACGAGAGCCATGCAGGAGACAGCCACAACTACACAAGCCCTGCCTCCGCTAGTAAACACCGACACTTCTTACCCAGACCGGACCTGGCTTGCACAGCTTCGGCCTCAACGGCAAAACCAAGGGTCGTTGCTGTCTCCGAAAGCGGGAAGCCGCGGGGACTTCGTTTGAGGTCCCATGGACTTTCAGGCCGGTTCTTGTGACCGGCACACAACTCACCTTCTTTGGCGGCCAGCTGATCAGCTACTTCTTAGTTGAGCAGTTGAATTTACATGCCAGCCACGGGCCATGAGACGTGAGTCTTGTTTTGCGAGCTGGACCTTGTACAAGTTTGGTGACGTCAAGAAGCTGCCCGCCACACTATTCACACCACTGGGCTTAGAATTCCAACACTTGGAAGTAAACCTCAGCTGCGTGCCGTCTCGAGGAGATGTGCAGAATGCAGCACACTCGACTCTTCTGAAAGTCAGAAGGCCTCGTTTGTTACGACGATAGGATGAGGATGGCCGTAGTTGCCCATCCTAAGCTCTTTCCCTGCGGGCGAGCCTGCGTAGCGGCCTGCAGAAGAAACATAAAGCCCGGTCAAGCCAAGCTTCTCATCTATGTATGCCCCATAGTTGCCTCGGCCGGTGTTCTGCACCAAGCAATGAGATGGTGTCGCGGGACCCTGTTGTGTCGTTTAGCCAGGAAGCCCAGATCGTCGAGCTCCACAGCGATAGTGATGTTCTCACCACGACAATCCTGAAAGCAAGTGATGGGCCGTGCGCAAGCTGTCTCTCATGGCAGGCCGCGGGCGTGTCGAGAATCTCCTCTTCAGTCCGAGCTGCTCCTCCAGAGTGATAGAACAGCCTGCTCAGCTGGAGGTTAAGGTTTCTCAGCGTGGAAGTCACATCCATGTCCTTGGCAACAATCAGGAGACAGCTTGCCATGAAGTCTGGCTCTCCGGAAGAAAACAATTCCAAAATTGCAGGGGCAGTCAAAGGTGGAGTTGACACACACGCCTTTCGGGGCGATCGCAGGTGTCTTTAGGTGGAAAAATCCTGGTTAGCTAAACGAATTCCGAGGAGGACGCACCTGACTTTCTAAATGACATGCGATACGCCCGTCAGATGTAAGGCCCGGTCCGTGTCATAGGCACCGTCTCCGCTGTGGAACGTGATTCCCTCCGTGCCAGCAATTGAGCCATTCTGTACACCTGCATCACGGCCAAGAACCAGAGAACACAAAACGGGGCCTGCCACCTGCTTTGATTACCTTCCACACACGAGCTAAGGCGCCAAGGACGTAGTCCTGTGGTCCGGCCATGAGAAACGAAAGTGTTCCACAGGACGCACGCAGCTTCAGGCGAGCAGAGTGGACGCGCTGAACAAACCAGCCACCGGAGAAGTTCTCCTCATCCGGGTCGGACCTTGCAAAACAGCACCCGCAGCGAGCCACTAGTACTAAACAGATCCAAGCAGAACAATAAAGGTGGCACCTCTGTGTGAGTGCATATACAATTGGTTTCGGAGATGCATAATTGGCTCGGGATATGTTCGCCTGAATCAACATATGTATGCTGGTGTGATTTGGGTTGCGGGAGCACAAGAGTGCTAGACGGAAATAACTGCTTGACACAGCCAAGGCCACAAGCGGATGACGCCATGTAGGTGGATGTCTTTATGGGGCTTGACGAGACCACCGTTGGTTGCAGAAAGTAGTCTGGACTCATCCACAGCAATCTCTGGTGCCGAGTTCACGGGATGGACAATCAAGCTGATTTCGCACCGCGTCTCTTCTTCTGTCTCCAGAGCGACGACACGTACTTCCAAATGCACAACTCCATGGTACAGTTCCTCGCTGCTTCAAAGATGTTCAACGAACACGAATCACCCTCCCTCCAAGCACAAAGCATGGCTCCACAGATAGATCTTAGGTCTTAGGTGTGACAGCTGCATCTGAATTTTTCGATGCTGTACATATTGGTACCTAGGCTCTGGGAAAGGTGTGAAGACCAGTGCACGAAGTGCCGCGCGGAAGCCGGCGAGAGTCGTGTTGAAAACAAAGGCCGGCACTCCTTCGCAAACGCAAAAAGGACAAAGCAGCGACGATCACTGCGACTCCATTCGGCCCTCGAACCTGGTGACGAGCGATTGGAGGCGTCGCCTGCTTGCGCATCATATGTGTCGTTGCGCACTTCATCGAGTGCTTCACGGAGGTCCGCAGCCAAATGAGGCACTGCTTCCAGGAGCAGATCCAGGCCACCATCCCCTCCGCTACAGCATACTACGGTCTTATGAAGCACATGTCTGGACACTGGCTAGAAAGCAGAAACTGCACCCATCGACCTGCAAAAATCTCGACGCCCACTCGGCTGGATTCATCATCAAAGCCAGGGATAGGCTCATGATCACCTTGGGATCTCCGCGAAACACTACACCAGTGATGATATAAATCCTGCATGGCCCAAAGGACCCTAAACTATGGGAATTATGGTATATTCCCAATTATGGGCAATACAGGATTTTTATCACCAACCGTAGTACACGGGATATGCATGACGCAATAGCCAGATCAGCCGGGAGGCGTATGGAGATGTTGGTGCCAATCGGAACTTCAACCTGCCCTTCAAACAGGTCCACGGCGGGTGGGCACACGATTGTGATTGGATCGCTCATTGTCTCGATCTCGACTTGGACGCTGGTGTTCACAGAATACTCCTTATGCACAGCATTCTACACAGCTGCACCTGCCTAGTCCTGTTTGTGCAATCTGGAGCCCAAGATAAAGGCATGTGGCACGTCCAAGACCATTCAAGACTAGCGGCGCCGTCTGTAACCAGCATGTCCATCAAATCAGGACCATTATAGTTCGGGTCCGGGAGATACTGAAGCTGAGAAAGGAAAGCGTTTAATTCATGCAGCTTGGCTGTAAACTCAACGCGTTTTCCATCCAGAGATGACTTTGGAATCGCGGCTGACGAGATCGTACGCACCCTTCCGTGGGATGTGGAAAGGAACACGGTCAAGTCCCGATCCACCAAGTTTTCCGCTGCTTTATGCTTGACCATAAATGACATGAAGTTCGCATGGTCTTCGAAAACATGCAAGAGACCACTCCTCGGCTCTAACATCACGATGCGAGGTGGTTCGTTGACGAAGCTGCGATGGACTGACAGGAAGGTCCCAGCCGTCAGCTCACCAGCCTCCACACTCCTAACACCTGCAGAGGCATACAATTGCATGTCCAGGCTTTGGTAGGCCTGCGGCGACTGCCAAAAGTAGTACGGTTCACCGGTATTGCTCTCTCCCATGTTTCCCGAAAAGGCATGGTCATATGCAACACAGTACTCGAAGAAGTTGTCGTACGGTGCCTGTGTCAAGCCCAAACATGGAGGTGGAGAGTCAGCAACAAACGACCAGCTGCCAGTAGACAAGACGTGGGCGCGTCTTGATGCCTCCGCCAACGAACCACCAAAGCTGAAACTTAGCGCCGGAGAATCAAGCGCCTCAACCCCAACTAAGTGAGGGAAGGGACGGTGAGTTTCTTTGGGTCGTGCGTCGCCCAATCCTTCCGGTCCACCTGCAACTGATCCTAACGGCTCAGCACACTGTGCAAGGTCTCCAGCTTCCAGGGCCCTTGGCCACAGCCTCGCGCGCGACAGCACGAGTCCACCGGATTTCCCCACAGAGACTTGCAGTGCGCTGCGCCGGGTTGGCCCTACAAACCGCTGCGGGGCTCTCCATCGGTACGCAGCATCCAGTTTCTTGTCCACGTAGAGTGCCACCTCGCCCAGAGTGGTGTCTGCTTCCGACTCTGCCGGAGCAATGTCTACATCTCGGCTTCTGCGCCTCACAATGAGTGCCAGGTGGTACCAGGTGCCTTCTTCTAGAAATGCCCTGCCAGTTCCCTGCAGCCGCCCTTCCTCCGACAGAAGTGTAAATTTAAGGCGACCATCACTTCCAATCGAAAATGAGCACAGCGGCCTGTCGCTGGCATTCTCAGCACCCCAGAACGGGTCATCGACACCAGCAGAAATATTGTCACCCAAGTAATCGTTTCTGAAAAGTAAACCATCAAAGGCAGATTCCAGATCGTACGGCTGGAATGTGGGAGGGGGAGGCGTCGTCCCAAACGTTGTGGGCCGAATGTCGTCGACGCTGGGCATCACTTTACCATACAACTCCCAGGTGAAGTCCTGTGCAAAAAGGCTATGATGCCACAGGGTGTCCTCAGGCACGATGGTCATTGTTCCCCCCTTCAGTGCGACGGATTGTGGGGAAATGTCTTCATGATACATGTCGCTGTAATGGTGGACGTTCCAACCTCTGTTGCCTAGATCGGAGACAGAAATTGAAACCCCAGTAGTGCCGTACCAGTTGACGTCCCGGAAGATAAAGAACAGGTCTTGCAATTCCACATTCAGTTCAGCAAGCGTCATGCGCTTCTGCACGTACGTGCCTGAAGGGAACAGGGACACAAAAAAGGTGCGAACAAACTCCAACTCCCGCTCGCCCTGGCCTTGGGTGCCAGCAAAGGCCACAGCACCTCCGCCCGAGTCAGACTCAATAGAAATGACAACTTCAAACTCGTCGTGCGCCCTGGCATCGGGATCTATCACCGAAACGCCATACAGGTTCACGTCGTCCTGCATCTGCGTGACAGAGTAGTGGTCGACGTCCACGAAGATGAGAGGTGCGCGGTTCACACGCCGGATGACTACCGGGAAGTCGATGCTGTCACTAGGATATGGTTTGCCGTGATG